GTTGAGATGGCAATTTTCCCCCAAAGAGTTCTAAGATTCAACTCAATTCCTATCAAAATCCATTGCAGCAGGGTTGCTTTGGAAAAAACGACAAGCTGATACTAAAATTTTTATGTAAATAAACCCAGAATAGCCAAAACAATTTTGAAAAAGGAAGAAAAACACTGGAAGACTTACACTTTGCAATTTCAAAATTTACTATAAAGCTACCACAATCAAGGCAGCCTGATGCTGATGTAAGAGTAGGCACACAGATCACTGGAAAAGAAACGAGATCCCAATTTGATCAATTGAGTTTTTTACCAAGGTGCCAAGAAAACTATACAGAGAAAGGATAATTTTTCAAAAACTAGTGCCAAGACAACTGTATATACACATACAAAAAAAATTTCAATACATTTCTCATCCCATACATATCATTGGAAATTGATGAGACTTTAATTGTGACGCAAAGAGAAAAAAGGAATAAATTAAGGTTTCTCAAAATTAAAAAACTTTTTAACTTGAAAAGAATTTTAAAATGTAACAAAGAAGTTTACAAAACACATATCTAATAATGGACTTGTATCCAGAATATACAGAGAATGCCCACAATCTAACACAGTAATAAAACAAATATAACAGTCCAAAACATGGGCAAAAGATTTAAATAGACACTTCAAAAGTGACAGGAAAAGCAGCTGGGCATGGTGGCGCATACCTGTAATCCCAGAACTCAGGAGGCTGAAGCAGGATCGCTGTGAGTTCGAGACCAGCCTGGGCTACATAGTGAGTTCCAGGTCAGTCTCAACTACAAAGTGAGACCCTGTCTCAAAAAACTAACCCCCTCCCCAAAAAGAGAGAGACAGGAATGGCTAATAAACTTAGGGATATATGTTCAACACCATTAGTCAATAGGAAAATTCAAAATAAAAACATGAGATACCACTGCTAGTTATGTATAGACATAATAATAAGAGTTGGTAAGAATGTAGAAAAGTCAACCCCTATCTCCTCCCTACACTGCTAGAGGGAGGAATGATTACTGCCACACTAGAAAATAGTTTGGTAGATTCTTAAAAGGCTAAACTTAGTATATGAACCACAATTCCACTCCAAGAAAAATAAAAACAAATCTTCAAAAGCTTACACACAAATGTTTCGAGCAGCATTATTCATTATAGCCAAAAAATAAAAGCAACCTAAAAGTTCATTAACTGATAAATAAAATGTGGTACATAGAATGAAATACTTCAACAATAACCAGGAACAAACTACTGATGCATGTCACTATATAGATGAATCTCAAAAACATTATGCTGAGTGAAAGAAACCAGATCCAGAGACAGCAGAAAGCAGACAATGGAGACAGACAGCAAATCAATGGTCACCTTGGGCTGAGTGTGGGAGCCAGGACTGACTATAAGCTTGCATCTACAAACTTGTTAAATTGATGCAAATATTTTAAAACTGAACTGTGGTGACATCAGAACAATTACCAAAATTTACTAAACTTGCTAAAAATCACTTAAGTGTTTAGAAAACAGAATTGTACATATGAGCCCTGCCTTCTTGCAACTAGAAGAAAGTACCAGGATAGTATTATTGAGGAAGGTTGTAGATTCTCTAACGTTATATACTGGGACCATGGTCCCCAGTGCAATGGTTTTGAGATGTGTAACTTTTAAGACATGGGGCCTAGTGGGAGGGAATCAGGTCACAAGTCAATTGTTCCTGCTTTCAGAAGGAATTAATGTAGTTCTTCCAGGAACCCAGAAAACTCCCATGAGTATAGGTCATTATGAAAAACAGATTCCGGCTCCTGAATCTCTCTTTCTTCCTTCTTATTAAGTGACTTCTCCCTCTTGCACACTTGCGTGTCATAATGTTATCTATCAAGTTGTGATGTGGACAGATGGGCTTCACCAGAGGCAAATGATAGCATAATGCTCTTAAATCACTAGAACTGTGAGCTAAATAATTTTGGTATATAAGGTACTATCATAGACAACTAAGGTCAAAATATACAGGCAGTCAGACAGGGCTAGCCCTTGAGGGAAGTCAGTGCAGAAGATAAGAACACATTACAACTGTGGCTGGCGGTGCATCTGTTGAGGGCCAGACCGACCTCAAGATGGAGACAAAGTGACCTAGCCTGCAAGCTTTCCCAAGGGATAAACAATAGATTGGGGATTGTGTTGCCCCAGTAGGTGGCCAAAACCACATGGTTCCTCTTTTCCTAAAAAGGTCCTTGTTCTTTCCATGCACCCTTGCTCTGTGACCTGCTTCCCCACTGAATAAATATTACCTAAGCAGCTAAAGTTGTAATCTTATTGATCATTGTTTTGTCCCACGTTGTACCCATCTCGTGATCTTGCACCCACCTCTTGATTTTGCACCTCATGATTTTCATAATTTTAGTTTATGAAACCTCCTCTGTAAAGTGGGGTACATGGCAATCCATTTTGGGGTTCCCTTCTGTGTCTTAGGAGCTGTTATCTCTCTCTCCCAATAAATATTTCCTATTCTTAACCTCTGTCGCTCCTTAGAATTCATTCTTCGGTTTTTGGGAACAGGAGTCAACATATCACACATATAGCGGGTTGGGAGTTACATTTATTTTCCCTATATCAGTATTGTATTTTGTTATAGCAACAAAAAATTGTCTAATGCACTCCAATATAATAGCTTTTTTGGTTTTTAAGACAGGGTCTCACTACGTAGTTCAGGCCAGCCTTGAAATCACAATGTAGCCCTAGCCCAAGCCGGCCTCCAACTTGTAGCAATCCTCTTGCTTCAGCCTCCCTAGTGCTGGGATTATAAGCATGCGCCACCCCCACCCCATATAACAGTTCTTAACAGGAAAATGATTTCTATGTGCCCAAGAGAATTAGGAAGAGCCTAACAGAATGGCCAATTTTGCAAGGCCCTTTCTAAATGAAGCCCAAATAATGATGATAATGATGATAGTGTTATTTTGTAAAAAAGAAAATGCTCAAGATTTGTATTGTTCTATGAATTGTCCTTCACCACTTTTACTGTATTTTCAACTTAAAACACTGAAAATTCAATGTACCTCTCCTATAGGTGTTCTTTCATATTAAAATGTTAATCATTCAGGACCCATAAAAAGAACATGCATATCCCCTAGGCCAAAATAAACTTTTAAAAATCATTTCATGCTGGATTCCAGCCTGATTTGAGGCTCTAAAACTACCAATTGGAACCAACATTCATGTGATATTCCCCTGGGTCTCTCTGTGGCCTAGATAATCAATCCAACTTTCTGTTGGCCTACATGGCCTCTCTGTAGCTGGTTTGCATAAATACAAAACTTGAGTACTTGTTACTAGAGCTACTTGCTGAAATATGGAACTGGTTAAAGATGCTGTTTAATTTTAAAAATTAACATGCACAGCTTTACATAAACACAGCCACTTAGCTTCCATACCCAGCCAATAAATGTTTTTTTTTTAAATGAGAACAAAAAAAATATCAAGTTTGCCCTTCGTTTCTGAGGTCTCAGCATGTTTTTCAAGAAATCATGTAGTATGACAGAATGAAAAAATAAATTCAGATCTATCACATGCAAGTTAGTAAGTCCAATTCCAAAGAAGTAGGATATAACTTTTACTCTAGAGGGATAGATGAAAGAGATCTCTGATAGAGTAATATATATGAGTATTTATTTCCACGTGAATCTAGTATAGTACATTACACAGAAACCACAATTTAAGTATAATGGACAAAGCTATAATGAACAAGCTCTAACAAGCCTATGTGATGAATGATCCCAACACATGGTGTTAGGATTCTTTAGTTTGTAACAACGTTCCTTCCCCTCCCCACCTGAGAGAAGGAGAAAATATTCTGAAAGATCTATCAATAGAAGTGAGTGACATTCAGAAACAGCTGAAGTTGGGTGACCCAAATGTGCTCTGTGATAAATGTAAGGTAATCACATCACAGTTTTAGATGTATTAAGTGGGGAACAAGTTAGACTGAAACCATGAGGAGCCCAAGAGCTTTCAAAATGTTTCAGATCAGAAGAAAAAGCTTTGCTGGAAATTTGTTTGTCCCTTTTCCGTAAGACTGTCTCATTTCACTTTCCAAAAATTCCAAATCTTTTCCCAGCTCGAGGCCAAGAGCCCATACAACAGGATCACAGATGGAAGATTCAGTTGTAAAGGCAACTACCTAAAACACGCAATAGAACAAGCCAACACACTGCACTCAAACTTTCTCTCAGGAGCTGTGCAAACGATTTGCCCTAGTACTCAAGAGTTGTGGGGAGACAGTCGCGCATCAACTACTCCCCTCCGTCCCGCTCAGAAAGGCAGAGGGTGCGAGAGCCCGCTGCGGCCAATTGGGATGCAGAGTGACAGGTTAAAAGGGAAAAGCTTTTCACGATCCTATGCAAAAAAATTCACCTTTGCTCCTCTCCTTTTAAGACCTAGCAGCCTGCGCTCAAGGAACAGCAACAAGAACAAAAACCAAGACGCTTACTCCCAGCTCCCTAAGCTCGAAGGTGGAGATCCAGGCCGCCAGACCCCTCCGCAGACCCAACCCGGGGCGCCTCCCGCCCGGGACCACGCCCATCGACCGTGGACCCGCCCCCTCACCGAGCTCGCGAGAGACCCAGGACCCTGGGCCACACCTC